GCCAGCTCCGGTGGCAGCTAGTGAGCCACAACTGATATAAGCTTGACTCTGCTGGCTTCCTCTATGCAGGAGCCCTGGTAGCAGCACAGCGGTTAAAGTGCAGTACTGAAGGATAACTCTGCCCACAGCCTGGGGTTCAATCCTGACAGGGTTCAAGGTTGACTCAACCTTCCATCCTTTCCCAGGTTGGTAAAATAAGGATCCAGATTGTTTAAGCCATGTGCAAACAATGCTGACGTTGTAAACTGTGCAGAGAGTGCTGTAAAAGCATGATGGGGCAGTGTACAAGTAGACCTCAATTTACAACCATTCAGTGACCGTTCCAAGTTACAAAAAGTGAAAAAAGTGACGACCATTTTTCATACGTGCCACCGCTACAGCATCCCCAGGGTTACATGATCGAATTTCAGCCACTTGGCAACTGACTCATCTTTATGACGGTGGCAGTGTTCTGGGGGTCATGTGATCCCCTTTTACAACCTTCTAATGAGCAAAGTCAATGCAGAAGCCTGATTCACTCAACAAGCATGTTATTCGGTGGCGCAGTGGTGAGAGTGCAGTACTGCAGGCTATTTCTGCTGCCTGCTGGCTGCCTGCAATTTAGCAGTTCAAATCTCACCAGGCTCCACGCTGACTCAGCCTTCCGTTCTTCCGAGGTGGGTAAAAGGAGGACCCAGATTGTTGGGGACAAGAGGCTGACTCTGTAAACCACTTAGAAAACACTGTGAAGTGGTATATAAGTCTAAGTACTATTGTTCTTGGTCTTTCCCCCTTCCTTCCTTCCTTCCTTCCTTCCTTCCTTCCTTCCTTTCTTCCTTCCTTCCTTCCCTTCCCTTCCCTTCCCTTCCCTTCCCTTCCCTTCCCTTCCCTTCCCTTCCCTTCCCTTCCCTCCATGGTACACAGTGGTTAGAATGCAGTGTTGCAGGCTGGCTCTGCTAATTGCCAGAAGTTCGATCCTGACTGGTCCAAGTGGACTCAGCCTTCCATCCTTCCGAGGTGGGTAAAATGAGGACTCAGATTGTTTGGGGCAAGAGGCTGGTTCTCTAAACCAGGGGTCCCCAACCGCCGGTCCGCGGACCGGTACCGGGCCGCGGAACAAGCCTTACCGGGCCGCTGGTTGCTGGGCGCCGCCATCTTTTTTTGGTAAAAAAAGCAATTTTTTGTCAAAAAAGATGGCGGCGCCCAGCTGACGCCGGAACCGGGCCGCGGCGCCCAGCTGACGCCGGAACCGGGCCGCGGCGTCGAAAAGGTTGGGGATCCCTGCTCTAAACCGCTTAGACAGGGCTGAAAAGCACTATGAAGCGGTATAAAAGTCTAAGTGCTATTGCTATTACTAACTTATCAGCCACAGTGATTGACTGTAGCAAAAAAAGGCCGTACAATGGGGCAAAACGCACTTAACTAATGTCTCACTTAGCAACAGAAACTTTGGGGCTCAACTGCAGTCATAAGTCGAGAACTATCGGCACGTTAGTCTAAAGTGCTATTGCTACACTCACGTTCCTGCGTTTGGATTTGGCTTATTTTTGGTTTCTTTCCGGTTCTCCTTTGGTGTTTTCCCGCAGCTTTCAACTTCGTTTAAATTTTCTGCTGGTGGCTGAATCAGTGACTTTGAAGATGTAGCCAGAGGTGGCCTAACGCTCAGAGAGCAGATCAAGCAGGTGAAAGTTGGAAGGTGCCAATGAAGGAAAGTTGGCCGAAGTTGACCTGGTGGTTGGAGGTAAAGTCAAGCCTGGATTAGATCTGGTCAAAAGAACCCGATTGAAAATTAACTGCGCACGCACACACACACACACACACACACACATTTATCCTCTTAGTCATTTCCAAATATAAAAGGACAACGGCTGCCAAATTGCCGCTGCTTTGGTTTCAGATGTCAAAACAACTTCATTTCTTCAATCCACAAAGTAATTTCGTAGCAATCCACAAAGAGGGAGAATGTTCTAATCTAATGACGATTTATTTTATGGACACTGAGAGCGTTTGCACCAAGATAAATTCCTTGTGTGTCCAATCACACTTGGACAATAAAGTATTCTATTCTATTCTATTCTATTCTATTCTATTCTATTCTATTCTA